TAACATGGATGAAGCTTGAGGACATTATACTGAGTGAAATTAGTCAGTCACAAAAGAAGAAATACTGCATAAGACCATTATTGTAAAAGACTAACCAAAAGAACCCACTCAAAAGGGGGGAAATGTTTTAAATATATAAGTTCTGATCACTGGTCTGTATTGGATGAGAGGTGGTCAGGGAAGGGAAGAAAGAGCACAGGGTAGGGAATAGACACAAGAAAGCCTGGGAGTGGGGGAGGGGAGTATGCAGTCAATACACAAGAAAGGGGAGGGGAAAAAGAAGAACAAAGTGGACTGGAGAATGGTTGGGCAGGTTCCAATGGGATAGGTGGGACAGAGGTAAATGACGAGGTATGCACAACCCTGGAATAACAGGGCTTCAGGATACCGGGATTGAGGCATGGCTTGAAAGGTGGAAAGAGGGGAGTAATGTTAAGATGCTAGACTGTCTTTTGAATCTTGGTCTCCCTTGCCTACCATTGTGAAATGGACACTTGAGGGGTGCGTGTGCCAGAAACATCACAACAGGAAACATGTGGGTCTGTATCTAGCTTATAACTAACTGGAATACCTTGGGGGGTGATGGTTGGAAACTGCCCAGACCCAAAATGGTGGGGGGACTATGATGGCATGGACAGATGAAGTGGCTGGGGACATGGGAGCCAGGAAGGGAGAGGAACTGTTTGCTGACAGCCAGGAAAGGTAGGCGTGTGGGGTGTATCCTTTGGTTATTTGATGATGCATGGAGGGGATTTTAATCATTGTAGTGAAATGAAATATGATAGGATGAATATGAAGCTGAAGTGGGACAGAGGCAAATAATGATGTATGCAAAACCTTAGAGCAATAGGGCTCTGGAATACAGAGATTGGGACATGGTTTGAATGGGGAAAAGGGAGGAAATAATGTTAAGATGCTTGGTTGTCTGTTGAATCTTGGTTCCCCTGGCATACCGCTATAAAATAGACACTGGAGCGGGAGAGAAAGGAATAGCCAGAAATACCACCATAGAAAGCTTGTAAGTCTGTCTTCTGCCTATAACTGATTGGAATACCTAAAATGGGGCTACAACCTGCCCAGCGAAGGAGGCATCCTGCGGAGCCTCTGCATTATGTAAGGCCATAGTTGGGAATCCTGAACAGCATTCAGAATCTTCAGAGGGGAAATTTCCACTTGAAATGACAAGCAGACCAGCCTGGAGAGGCCAGAAGAACAGAAGACCCTTCCTGAAAGAAAGACTGACAGGAAAAATACAAAACAATACAGGCAGACTGACTGATTACTACAAGAACAAACAAGTTGCTCTCCCAGGAGACATCAAGGCAAGTGGTCGGGTCTCCCTAGGGCAAACCCCCTTCTAAGACTAAGACTCAATGGGAATGGATGCTCTAACTGGTGACTAC